CGGGCTGGGACAGAGTGCTGTAGTCCCCCAAGATGCACAGGAGACAGAGGGAAATGATTCCTGTGAATCTTGGGGCACTACAGCACTCGGTCGGTGAGTTTGCACCCCAGGGATCGGCAGGGTATGGCCTTCCCACTACATCACACCATATATACCTATTTTTTAGACTTTTTTCATTGTATTCCTTTGGTATATACGGTCATGCCAATTCTCTTCCAGAATCAGATCAAAGGAAGTGGGTCTGGCCCACGAAAACTCATCACCTAATAAACCATCTTGCTAGTCTTTAAAGTGCTACATAGTCCTGTTTTTTGCTTCAGCTACATCAGACTAACACGGCTACATTTCTATCAAATTTCAAAATAATCTACTTCAAAATTACTTCAAAAAAAGCTATGCAATTTGTGTAGAACAAATTACGTAGCTTATTTCAAGGTAAGAGTGCAGTGTAGATGCACCCTTAGGCTGTGTCTACATTGGCACCCCTTTCTGGAAAAGGGATGCTAATGTAGACTTCGGAATTGCAAATTCTGCGGGGGATTTAAATATCCCCCGCGGCATTTGCATTTACATGGCTGCCGCTTTTTTCCGGATTGGGGATAACCCAGAGAAAAGCACCAGTCTAGACGTGATTCTCCGGAAAATAAGCCCTTTTCCGGAGGATTTCTTATTCCTACTTTTCCGGAAAGGGGTGCCAATGTAGACACAGCCTTAGTGTCCAGAGAACCAAAAGAGGATTAGGACACTAATCCTCTTCTACAGGCACTGTAGAAGCATTCAGGTCCTTCCCCAAAAAGCTTACAATCTAACCTGAGAACAAGAGACAAGTGGGAGAACAAATAATGGAGAACATGAGGGAGAAAGGACCAGGGTATCAGCCTTAGGGTTACAAAGTCAAAGTCTGATCTTGCAAGCCTTAGTCAGATGTCTCAAAAAGGGTCTAACCAAAGTCAAAGGGACTATTTGCCTGTAAAGGCAAATACTAGAAGATCCTATATTCTAGAGTCCTTAAAAACTGCAGCAGGCAGACTGTGCCACCTCTCCTTTTAAAACATTTTTGCTGAACCTCACCATAGGCCTAATCCCACACTTTTCATGTAAGCAGAACCCTCATTGAAACAAAAGAAAACTTTGCCTTTATCAGGACTCTGGCAAGATCAGGCCCTTTATTTGTAAGTTTTGTTGTGAATGATTTCTAAACAGACTACACTGCAGCATCACATCAAACCCAAAAGACAAAGATCTAATGCCAGTGGGAAGAATCCGGCACTCTTCCCTTCCGCAAATTCTCCCTGGTTTGGGGTTGAGCCTTATGTGATATTTCTTTATGCCATCTTGAAAAAATTCTACTTGCCAGTTGACCTGGCATTAGTCATATTTTTTTAAACAAGAGGGAAAATATCACTTTGTTTTCATTATCATCAGTCATCAAAGTAAAGGAAGGATGAATAGGTGCTAGATATTGTGCATGGGCTATGGATCATTAAAGGAAATTTTTGCATGGTTAATTTGCACTAACCTCAGTGCATACAGTTTACTGTCTTGCATAAAATGTAGTCTTCTCTTAAGTAAAGTAAGTGCATTGAAAATTTGATTTAAAAAACCCCAAACCTTGAGTGTTGACAAGCAAGACTTCTTTTCCATGATCTGCTAATCTTACATCCTTCAGCAGTGAAACAGACGTTTGCAAAAAATGTGTAAGTTCTTTGCAACATAAATGTTAAGGTAGTGCTTTGATTTGAAGTAACGAATCAACTTCATTTCTGTGTTCACTAAGATCGCTCCACAGTGCCATGTCATCAAAATGAAGATGATCTGTCATTGTCATTCAGGAATATTTAAATTGTAAAATCCATAACATTGTGAGGGTTTTGCTTTGAAATAACAGAAAAAGAAAACATGTTGATGAAAGATGGTTCTTTTCTCCTCAGTCCAAGATATAAGCCACGTGATGGTTACTTAAGTAGCACTCTGTGCCATGTCAGACTCTAAGTGCCATCCCTTTTTTAAAAAATGTGATCATTATAAACAGCAAGCCATTCAGACAAATGGCATGGATACCCATTTGTGACTGATTCATATGCTAAAGAATGTTGGAGTGTAACTGTAAAAAAAAAAAAAAAAAAAAAAAAAAAAAAAACTTTGCAGATACTGCACATATGAATAGCTTTCAACTTGTTTCCCCCAGTTCCCACTGTTTATGATCTGTTGTGCACTTGGATAAAAACCAGTAACAGCAGACAATAGCCTATAAAAATCTTCAAATTATATCACTGATAGAAAAACAAACAAAAAACTGCACATTTTTTCTGGGATAAAAAGCACAGGGCTGAGTTATTAGAAATTTTGAAACAGTAAGATTGTTAATAAAAAGTACTTATAAAGAAATATATCTACAATACTTAATAATTTAAGGCTCACAAAAACCAATATATTCTCAATAACAAAACTAAAGTTTTCTGCTCTAGGTTAAAAGCACCAGTTTCACTTCACATACTAGACAACCAGATCTGTACGGATCACAAGTGGAGAAGTCTGAAAGTGTTTCTTAGCTAATGTTTCTAGTGTTTTAATGAAGTCATGTCTCACAGGAAAAGAAATACCCCTTTTGCTCCTAAATACACATATATAAAATATATTGGAATAATTTCAGTTTGAAACTACATTACAAAAAAATCCATTCATCCTCCACTCACAACCCCTCCAACCTTTTAATACTAAACTCTGAGTAAGTGAATTAGTTACAAATGACCCATTTAAAAATCACAGTTTGCTAAAGCAAATGTCTACAAGTAACACCAGTTTGCACTCTACAAATTTTCCTGCTCCTGCATGGTGGAGTGCATCTTATTCTTAGTCTGTTTTAAAAATTGGTGGCCCTTTGTGCTGTTGGGAAAAGAACATAAAAACATGTCCTCCTGGAGGTCTGTTCAATTATAAAATATAGGCTGACTTAAAATACTGTCTAAGTGATACAAAAATTATATATATATATATTTTCCAACATCCACAAACCCTGCTTTCTCTCGGAACCCATATGCACTCCATCCTTACAGGTCTGTTTCCCTGCTGGTGTCCAGACAGAGCGCATACAGGGATTTTCTGAGATCTAGGTTGCTTTTAGCTTTGATATTGGTTTTCTCTAAGGAGCCAGTGCCATTGTTGATCCCCTCGCTGTTTTCCAAGTGCACAACAGATTTGTCCAGAGAGTTTCTACTGCGGCTTCTCTTCAGCTCCCCCGCAGCGGAGCTGCCCTGAGCGCTGCTCGGCTCCTCCTTGAGGATGGCCTGCTCCTCGTTGTCCGTCTCTCGGTGGTAGAAGTAGTTGAAGTTGGACACGATGACAGGCACGGGCAGAGCTATGGTCAGCACGCCAGCGATGGCGCACAGGGAGCCCACAATCTTGCCCCCTACGGTGACCGGCCTCATATCCCCATAGCCCACCGTGGTCATGGTCACCACCGCCCACCAGAAAGCGTCGGGGATGCTGGAGAAATGGGAGTCGGGGTCATCCGCCTCGGCAAAGTACACGGCGCTGGAGAAGAGGATCACCCCGATGAAAAGGAAGAAGATGAGGAGGCCCAGCTCCCGCATGCTGGCTTTCAGCGTCTGCCCCAGGATCTGCAGCCCCTTGGAGTGTCTGGAGAGCTTGAAGATCCTGAAGACCCTGACCAGGCGGATGACCCTGAGGATGGCCAGGGACATGGCTTGCTGCTGACCTCCGTTGTTGCTGCTGGCGGAGCTGGGGGCCCCGCCCTGCTGCTGCTCGTGAGCCAGCTCGGTGCCCAGGGTGATGAAGTAGGGGATGATGGCCACGATGTCGATGATGTTCATGATGTTGCGGGAGAACTCGGGCTTGCTGGGGCAGGCGAAGAAGCGCACCAGCAGCTCGAAGGAGAACCAGATCACGCACGTGGTCTCGACGATGAAGAAAGGGTCGGAAAGGCTGCTGGGGTGCTGGAACTGGGGGGCCTCCCCGGCGGTGCCGTTCAGGGGCGGAGGCGGGGGGGTCTGCAGCTCCCTCTCGTCCCGGAACTCGGGCAAGGTCTCCAGGCAGAAGATGACG